CCTAGTGGACACATACGATGTAAGTGTTACTAATTCTTACTGTGATAGGTTCCAGAGCATAAATCTTTATCTGTATCCTTAAGAAAGATTAAACTCTTTACTTTTTATATGACCATATGAGCTTTTCAATTCTTGCATACCTGTGTAGTGATTTAGTATTATCTTGCTTTCTTCATAGTTTTACTCTAATAAATAATTACTGATAGAAAGTAAACTTTGCGGCAAAGTGGTCATTATCCTCTTCCTTATGTCACAAACCACACTATATTTTTTATCATTAGGTTTTTTTCCCTACTTTTTTAGAATTTAATCTAGGCTCATAGTCAATAAAGATTCTTTTTTGCTGCCCTCATGTCTCTTCTTCATTATTAGAATGAATCTGGGGGGAAAAAATGTAAACTTCTCTACATTGTCTGTCTTTTGTGATCTGGATTTAAGTTTTGTGAAATTTAGATTTGATCTAATGCTTTAAGTAGTCAGCAATAAAACATGCTTAGCCCATACAATTCATTACTGTGACAGATTTTTATTTTTTTTGGGCAGTTTTCAACTCTAGGTTATTTCACTCTTTGCAGCCAAATATGCCTGTTTGGAGGCTCTTTTGGTTGATAGCAGTAGCTACTTTGATGGTCAAATATTCATATAGCAATTCTTCAAAGGATTAGTTTTGTTTCGATCTCGCCCGAAAGTCGATATGTTTTATCTTTATTATATCAAAATCTTTAAAATTCTACTCTGCTTAACTGCGCTTTCATTTGTGCATATCTGTTCAATGTTAAGATAGGTAGAGGAGTATTCTTTTATTCTGTTCTCAAATTCTCTTGGCCCTGAATCTTAAGTACTTGAAACGTTTATCATGTAGTTTAGATATTTATACAGGAAAGGGACTTGTGATGTTACTTTCTTTATTTACAATACATGTGTTACTTTGTTATTCAAAGTTGGAGGTTGTGTACCCTATCTCTGATATTCTCTTTACTTACCATAGCCATCACTATTGTTTATTTATCACTATATCATGGAACTCATTGATTGGTGACACTAATTTTTTACCAGGTTCTAAGGAGCGGTATTCCAAACTTCTGTGCAGTCGCTTTGGCTCTCAGAGATTTAGGGTATGGAAGATTTATGAATACATGATTTAGTTGATAAACTTTTCTGATCATACTTTTCCATCATTCCATCTACATGAGAGTGCATTATCTTAGTGTAAAATAAACAATTGCATTTTGCAAACGAAGATGGTCTATTATCAGAGTCTAATGATGCTGATACAATACAGATTAAATTGGCCAACTTGATTTAATGTATAGTGGTTGCTGTGACTGATGATGAGTGTTTCCTTGTAAATAATTGCTAAAGATTGGACAAATGGATTGTGGCAACAAAAATTCGTCGTACTTCCCATAAGACAAATATGAATTGCAGTAGGAATAGGATCATTATTATAATAATAAAACAAAATATTCTGTACTACCCTTGAGAGTTGATAAAATATATTTCCATATAAAAAAGGGATCATAATACTATAATACACTCAGGATTTTCTGTATTCCCCTATATACTTGATAATTACCTATGATATATAAGACACGTTTGGAGCTTTTAAAAAGAAATTTTTTTAAATTTTAGGGAACCATAACATCACAGTGGTAACTTTTATATTATACTTTTTTGGCGCATTATTCTATGCTTTTTCTGCATTCAGTTCTATGCTTGGTTGATTAGGATGATACATCCTTTACTTGAGGAAGATTTGAGAGCTATTGTGCTCTCGGATATCAGAATCATTTCTTAAAAGTGAATACGTAACAACCTGTCTCCTCTGTTTGTAGAGACCTTGAGTATATGACGTGTTGATTGTTGAAAACTAAGATTGTTTCCTCAACATCATTATCCATGATATGGTTTTCAGGTACAAGGCCATGGGCATTAGATTGGACTCTGGTGACCTGGCATATTTGTCTTGTGAGGCTCGTAAGTTTTTTCAGGTGATTGAGAAAGAATTTGGAGTACCAGATTTTGGAAAGATGAGTATTACTGCTAGCAACGATCTCAATGAGGAAACCTTGGATCATTTGAATAAACAGGTGATTACAAATATTACTGTTTTACTGCATATTATTTCATGCCTGCTGCTGCTATTTAGTGTTGCTAAAATTTCAAGTAAATTTATAGCTCTTGAAACAGGAATTACTCTTGAAGTGCATATGAATCTATACCAAAAATTGTTCCATAGGGAAGAGAAGATTTGAAAATATATTAATTAACCCCTTGGTGTAGATTATTTCACAAATTTTTATTGAACATCCAAATACAAAATTAGGACAATTTTATACCGGACAGAGTTGGTCTTGGAAAAAAACTTGCAGCGATATATATGTTCTGTGCTACATTCTATTAGTTCTTGCTCAAATAGCTCTTTTTTTAATTATCCTAATCTGAGAAACATATAATGTGATTTACGTTATCTTGGCCTCTCAAGTCTCTGCTGTTGCAGAAGTAGCTTTTAATGCATTCCACCGTCTTAGGGTGCTATAAGGTAGGAACCTCACTGAGGGTACAGGGTCCTATAATCTTCAGGTACATTTGCCATAGCCTCTTTTGAATCTTCCTAACTTCTTTCTGCTTCTTAGAATGTGTCAGGCCTGCTTGCAATTTCTATGGGTGATTGAATACCTCATTATTGATTTTTAGAGTCCTTTGAAAACCTTCCTTACCCTGTAATTAAAAAAGGGCATACAGGTTTTTAGCCTTCTTCCTATTAAAAGTTGTTAAAGTCATCTCTTCACAAAGCTATTGCTTTGTATTATTTGTCTAGCACTGAAAACACTGCAATATTTACTCTTTTTTCCTTATGTTTTTAATTGGATCAATTTCGCATAGACAGGGTCATCAAGTTGATGCATTTGGAATAGGAACCTATCTTGTTACATGCTACGCTCAAGCTGCATTAGGTTGTGTCTTCAAGCTTGTTGAGATTAATAACCAGCCCCGTATGAAGTTATCTGAAGATGTTTCCAAGGTAGGTTTGTGCTTTCTACTAATTTTGGGGTTGAAATTTTGTTTTTAGAGGCTTTGTAATTCTTTTTATATGTATTATCTAGGTATCCATTCCTTGTAAAAAACAATGTTACAGATTGTACGGGAAAGAAGGATACCCGTTAGTAGATTTGATGATAGGAGAAATTGAACCTGCTCCAAAGGTATGAAGTGACTGATAAGCAACCAAATCTCTCTCTTAATATCTACCCCCCCCCCCCCCTCTCCCTCTCTCTCTCTCTCTCTCTCTGTGATGCTCTCTATCTGATTAGATCTGTTTATTGCTTTCAGCGTTAGCTCTTAACTTTTATTAAATGAGCTAACCTAGTAGCTTTACCTTTTAACATTCCAAAAGAAAAGTTGGACAGCCCCACCCCCTCAGGTAAATGAATAATAGTAATGGATATTGGGATATTTTTTTTGTTTAACTATGCATGTAACTTGAAGTTGATGACCTAATACTCAAGGAACAATTTATTGATGCATCACCTTCACGTCCTTCAGTCTTCTGCTCTGCTAACCTTTGGTTTTTGAAAGCATTATAAAACTTGCTGATTATGCCATTTTTTTATTAGAAACATTGAGATCTTATTGAGTCAGCCTTTAGATGGCTTTTCCCTCGCCACTACGTAGCTTTTTATGGAGTGGAAGAACTTAAAAATATGTGAAAGCTTCTCCAATTTTAATGTATACCCTGAGTGAGAAGTAATCAAATCTGTGTTTTGGCTGACAGGTGGGAGAGAGAATTCTCTGCCGTCATCCATTTAATGAGTCCAAAAGAGCTTATGTAGTGCCCCAGCGAGTCGAGGAGCTATTGAAATGTTACTGGAGAGGTAGCTCAGGTGAGCTTCCAGTCTGTTCCTCTTCATCATATGTGCAATCATTTGTGATCCATCTGAACTAAGTGTTCCTTTGCTACACATAGCATTACTATAATTCAAGAACAATGACTGCATATGCATGAAGGAAATGCTCATATTTTCTCATGGATCACATGATAGTACTTTTAACTGTATCCAGAGAGTGAGCTTCATTGTGCCAACATTAGTAGCCTGAAAGTATTTTAAATGATATTTGTTTCATGCAGCTAAAATGAGAGAAGATATGTTACCTCTGAAGGACATCAGAGATCGGTGCATAAGGCAGCTGGAGAAAATGCGCCCTGACCACATGAGGAGATTGAATCCTACTCCATACAAGGTAGCCTTGACATCCTTTATTTTCTTGTATGATTTGAGAGTTCATTGACGGTTATAATATTCTGATGTTTGTGCTTTTGGATGCAGGTGAGTGTAAGTGCAAAGCTGTATGACTTCATTCATTTCTTATGGCTAAATGAAGCACCTGTTGGTGAATTACAATGAAGTTGCTTCAAGGCTAGGTGAAATTATGCATCGTGGTACAGAAGACAGAGTAGCAATCATTTAAAAATTAGGAGTATTGTGCCAAATGCAAAGAAACTCATAATTCATGTGTACATTTTAAGTTATAGTTGCTTTTCACGGATAGTTTTGCCAACTATTTAAATATTATCTTTCAGTTAAATTTATAGTTTACATTCTTCCCTCATATTTTTAGGTTGTTGCTAGAAATTTTGTTTTCTTTAGTATTTTTTCAGATTTAGAGTAATAATATTATTGGTCTTTCTAACCAATTGAGCAATATACCTTCAGGAAATTGTATTATAGCACAGCAGCTTAAGGCTTGCAGCTACTTACATAGAGTTGAGACTTGAAGCTTAACTGGTATATCAATTTAGTTGTCTATATGCAGCATTCCAGATCTTTGTAGGAGTCATAATGGTCATCGAATTTCTACCTATAAGTTTATGTAAACATTGAGCATCTCTTAGAAATTTGTTACTCAGTATTAAACTTTCTTTGAACATGTTTTGCTTGTATCAAGCTTTAATCTCTTAGCAATTTATACCCATTGCTTAGGAAAAAACTATTTAGATGTCAATACATAATCTTTCACCAGTAGTGTATTTCAAAATGCTTCAATCTCTAAATTTTGTTCATAATGCTACATTAGTGAATTCTACAGCTTGGTGATCCGATGGAATAATTATGAATTACCGTATACAGTTTATGTTATTTCTTCTGTGACATGAGATGCTAAAGTATCCCAATATACCTCTTTTCTAAAGTGTTGCAAGTCACTAAAATGACATGCCTATACAAGATATTTACAAGATCTGAATTGACAAGATTTAGATAAATAAGTAGGCATACAGCCTTTAGCTTCAGAGCGTGACAAAGAGGTCATTCAGCTGCACCCATCCAAAAGCACAGCGATCTCGTAACTTCTGAGCAGCAATAGCCGCTGAGTCAACTAAGGGTCGTTTTCTATTAAGCTCCTTTTCAAAGGGTGGTCTTGCAGCACCGTCAATCTGCAGGTTCCCAAGTAAATGAGTAAACTCAGTTTAAAAAGCAGAAAGAACAGTAAACAATGGACATACCTTCTCGATGCAACGAACAGTATCCAGTATATGGCAGAAATACGTGAGCTGTTTATATAAATCAACTTCTGAAAACTGTTGATAAAGATGAATGCATTAGTGAGAAAGCCAGAAAGTTGTATCTGATATTTTAGTTCACAGTACAAGACTGGTTAATACCTTTCTTACTAGTCGGCCATTACATTGAGGATAGTTTGGACAAACAGTTCCCCTCTCAGAATCACCTATCACCCGCAAGTTTAAGCTACGAGTTGTATACTTGCAAGTTTCATCATCACACTATAAGAAACAAAACTTTCAGATAGATCACAAAACCTATTATTCCATATGTAGAAATGACCTAGAGGTGTATTTACCGTCATTAAACCCCTGTAGTATTTTGAGATGAACCCATCTGCTTGCCTCTTCACCTGGAAATGTCAGAAGATCATTTCAATAACTATTGTTTTGGAAAGGTCTTTGGCAAACCACTAGAATCAGCATACACTGGGATCAAGCCAAGTATATAGCTAAGCCCGCACAATACATTTTTGCACACTCTTTAAATCTAGCAAATGTTAAGTTAGGCTAGAAAGTTCGACCCACCTGGTTGGCAATCATTGCTGGAGATATTTGACCAACATCCCCTTCCTCAGGACACTTGGGGCATCGCAACCTGTGGCAGATTTTGCTAGTGGATTTTTCTGGCTGTGCTTCATTGGGCTTTTCTGCGACAGATTTACATAGGGAACTAAAGACACTTGGGCAGTCAAAAGAGCCAGAGCAGCTAGGGCAAGACAATACTAAAGGTTCACAGCCCTGATATCTGCAGAAGACATCAAGACAATCAATTTACTAATCCATCAGATCAGTAATACATTACTCTAGAAAGAAAACTGATTAATGGTCCCAATGAAGTCCTGAGTAATTGATGTTGAGGTAACAATGGAACTACATGCTCAAACAGTACCATAAGTGAATCTTACTGCTATTTCAAAAACAATAGTTCAGCAGCCTCCAATTTCAATAAACTGTGAAACAATGCGAAAGTCTAACAAATATTCAGCATTATTAAAACTAAAAATAGAGGCCAAGTGATCACAATTGTTTACCTATCTTCATCATCAACAGAACTTAAAAGTGATCCTGAAGGATCATTGCCGGTGCTGAGGTCAGATTTACTTTGAAACTGAACACATAAATTGAAAGTCAGTAACATGGAGCAAATAAGGGCATTGCACTATAGCAGCAAAAGCAGTTAGCAGTCTACGTAGGCTATCACCTTAGCTGAATCAAGCCCCAGGCAGTCAGCTAGACGTGCAGGGTCCGTACCCTGAATTGATGCACATAAACGTGAAACCACTGGATGAATCTGCAAAGACAAACTTAATGCTTCAAATCTGATGAAGACTGAAAAGACAATGTTTTACATAGAGGTGAAAAAATCAAAAAAAGAAACCTGTTGGGATAAGTAATAATTGATGTCAATCATCCATGTCAAATTTTCTGTTTTCAATTCATCAGGATGTCTAGCTCGCTGAGCAATACCACCAGGTGTCCCTGAAGTAGTACCCTGTCAAAACAAAGATACAGATGCAATTAGCTAGCATCCATAGTGTACTAAAGCCCAAAGCGCTTAATGTTCTTCAATTCAATAACTAATGTAAATTAAACAGACCTGCTCACAGCATATAATATATGGAACTGTGTCCCCTGAGGAACAACCAGCAGTATAACCATTATGTTTCAATCTCAGTGCCACCTATTAAAACATAAACAGTCAGGATGGCAATACTATTCCGTATATTGTACATGAATATTTCATCACTAAAGGAAAGACATGAGCTAGATGTCTACAATAATCACCTGAACATGTGGTTGATTTTTCGCATCAGGATAAGCTTCAGGTTGTTTAGTCAATGACTTTGTGATTATATATTTTTCAAGAGGTACTTCTCCTTTCCTCATTTCCTCTTGCACCTGTTGGGACCCATAAGAGCTTAGATTTTCACTACTTGACTACTTGTTTTCCTATATACTGTCATATTGACAAAGGACCTAATATTACAACCTAACTTGAATCTCCATTAATTTGAGAGGAATAGAACTATTGAGTTTTTAAAAGTAAACATTGAATTTCTGCTGCCTTAATCATTAGAGAGATTTAAATTATGTCAGTGCAGCAGTGAATCTGGAAAATCAATTTCTAATTTCCTATTTTCGTTATTTAAACACTGGCCAACAAAAATTTAGGTCTTTCTATTACCTTCATAAGATAACTATGTATCGACTCCACAACATCCTCACATGATCTGCAAGGAAGGAAAAGCATAATTTAGGCTGACACCTTAAAACTATATAAAGGTGCAATCACTTTGTTTTTTGCTATTAGAATAATATAATATCAAAAATCAGAAGGGAAAAAAATAAAAGGAATCCTTGACGCAAGATAGAAGCACAACTATACCCTCCAGAAAGTATCTGACTCAAGCAGTAGTCCCCAACTTCCTTTGACAACAAGCTCCAATCACGACGCACCATGTCAAGGCCCTTCCGTTCAATTACCTATAACAAACATTTAAATTTACATTAGATACTTGAAGCAGCCTCACTTCATATCTTCAAGAAGGTTACTAAAGATACCTCATACGGTTTCCCATCCCTGAATTGCAATTTGACAGCCGCATACTTTTTCTTCTTAAGGAGCAGCATCCTCTTGTACAACCCATCCAGATCAATTTCCAAACACCTATATTTCTTATTAACCTGAAAGAAAACGGAATACATCAGACTCGGCAACAAAACTGAAAAGAAGAGTAATAAGCAGGAAGCAGCAGTTCAAAGCAGCACATATTGCTGCCTTTCAGAAGCTCACTTCAGTAGGCATATTTTCCTGTCAGTGCATATAGAAATTAGATAACAACGGTCCAGGGAAGGAAATGGAAGAGGAAGAGAGGATAAACACCGGGATGGAGAGGAGAGGAGCGGAGGAGAGAATAGCAGAGGAGAAGAGAGAATGGACTGGTTTAGAAAGAGAAGAAAAATTGAATAGATCCCTCCAATTCTTTTTTTTTTTCCCCTTCAATCCTAAATTTATATCCAACCAAATGAATTATGTCACTCAGTCAAATATACTGTAAAACAGTGAATTTGAAACACCACAAAGAAAATCACTCTCTTAGGAGAAAACACATCTCCAATGAAAAGAGTAAAATCAGTATGGCTAATCCATTTGATGAATGCTGCAACACATATTCCAACGTAAAACAAATAAATCCTGTTCATTTTATGGAATATCAATAAGCAAACCACTAATTCTTAGAGAATTCATGTCACCTCTTGGATGACTTTTCCAGCAATGGCTTTGGCCTTTGCTATATCATCAAGCCCACTATATATCATGATTGAATCTGTATCACCGTAGATAACCTGCCAAAGATGAAACAATCTATCAGATATGACGTGAGACGTGTCATATAGACATCTAGTGATAGAATTGCTATAAGAATAAAACAATGAGCAAAATTAAAGGTCTTGCCTCCAAGTTCAGCGTGTTCTGCACAAGATCAACAGTACTTTGCAAAATCTCTCTTCCCTACATAGAAATTGTAGCATTGTCAATGGATATTTAGAGAACATATTGTAAAGCAGCTTCTGCAATACGATTAAAGAACATCTTACCTGCAACGTTATAAGTTCTGCAAGGGGCTTTGCATAAAATCTTGAGTTTGAAAAACCCAGGCATCCATACATACTGCATAAGATATAATGCAAGAATAACAAATACATTCATTAATGTAACTTAAAAGGAAAATTTACATAAAGCTTCACAGTTTAAAAATGACTATAAAAATAATCAACAAGAAATATCAACCTGTTTGCTGTGAGCTTAAGGGCTTGCTGCTGTATGTCGAACTGTTGGGCCTTGAGGCCAGATGCTGTCTTCAGCCAAGACTTCACCAGTCTTCTCCTTTCGACCAAGTTTTTAAGCAACTTTTATAGAAACAAATGATGAAAATACTTATGTTAAAACAGTGTGCAGAGTGGGGAATAGCCAAGACAAGCTATTATCTTGTAATGAAAATGTCAAAGTAAGGCACTAAAGACCAACAGAAGTTTGGGTATTGTGCATCTGTTGGTGGGGTTCAATGTCCACAAAATAATTTTGCACCAAAAAGTGTGGTAGATTTTTATCCATTGTTAAACCATGCCATCCTGCAAACCAATAAGGTGTAGAAAATGGAGTTCACTCGCTTCTGGATGTGCAGAGTTTAATTTAATTTGATGTCAAACTTCTAACTGATAAGTCAGCAAGCAAGGCAGGAGTAAGACTAGCAACAGCTACTCCATCTCAGTTCCCTGTTGGTCATTAGGTACTTCCAAGGTATAATGTTGAAACAGCATACCTTCTTATTTACGGTTAGTAATTGGAAAAAAAAATTAATAATAAATAAATCATTCATTATCTATTTGCATAAGCCTTTGATGATAACAAACTCATATAAATGTCCTTCGTCCATTACTATGTTACAGTTAAGATTTTAGTAGTCCATAATTGTATTTGATTTAAATTTTAATGTGGCAACTCAAATTTAAGTATAAAACAAGATCACTTGTTCATTTCTACTATTAGAATGCAATTGTGCAAGCTTTTTGCCAAGGTATCTGTTAGTAATGCCTGAAAGTGGGAAATTTAATAGCAACTTAACAACAATCGAGATCTTAGCAGTCAGCTCAAGCTTTTATAGGTTTAAGTCAATTGCTTTTCTCTTTGAAAAACAGTGCCATTTAATACTTTTTTAGTTTATTAAAAGTTGATTATTTGCTATGTAGCCTCACAAAAATATTGGATGTTGATCCCGCAAGCTATATGTTTGCATCAGTGACACAACGTTATTTTTTCTTTGCTGTAATAACCAAGGCATCACCAAGGCCCAATAACTAGTTTAACATTTATAAATACAAGAGATGAAAAGAAAATAAATAGAAGAGAGAGCTTCAATTAACATAGAAAAAATATATACCTCAGGTAGCACTCCTGTTTTCTCACAAGATGGTATGCGTGGAACTGAGCCATCAGAGTATCTTTCAACTGTCGTAAAACATATATTGTACTCCTGAAAAAATCCAAAAAAAGATCCATTTAACAATTTTTCTCATCAGAAAAGCATTGCTTCGTATGAGATAGCACTAATGGAGAGATACAAAACCTGAATGATAGAAGGATAAAGACTATTGAAGTCCAAAAGTAACACATATTTGTCATATAAACCTCTTTTGGGATCCAAAACCAATCCACCTGCATAAGCAGGACCTTTCTTGCCCTTCCCATGATCTTCATGCAAAGGCTCATTCTCATTGTTTGATTTATCCAAATCTAAGTCATCACCATTTTCTATTTTACGCTTTGTCAATTTATTTTCCTTAGCATAAGATGAATATTTGTCGGGAACAATATAGTTCTTTTCATGAAATGCATGCAACAGAAGATATTCTACACGTTGCGCTCTAGCTCCCTGAAAACAGATGAATAATACACAATCAGTATTTCAAGTGTAAAAAGGACACTCAGAAATATACAGTGTTTATGAAGTCATCTAGGCACTAACTTGTAGAGTCTTTCCCCAAAGGTTGCCACTGATATTAGTCAACTGACGTGTAAGTGGAAGTATGTTCAAATGGAACATCAGTTCCATAGACAACCATGCATCTGTCTCATTACATTCAATCTGGAAATACAAACCTATGTTAGGCATGAGCATGATTATAAACATGTCACCTTGGAGCATATATAACTCAATAAAAGGAATAAATAGTTCCATAAATTATCACAAATATAATAATTCATTATTAACAATTATGATTCACATTTCTGGTGCTTGGACGTGCAATTTCACTCTAATTGAATTTAACCACCAAAAAGTCTATTGATAGCGAGCAGTACATTCTCTTTGACAAGATTTGCAAAATTTATACTCCTGTTTTTTTTTTTTTTTGAGTGCCCAATCACTATATAGTAAGGATTAAAACAATAAAATTCGTTTGCATAATATAGAATAAAGTGGAAGTGGGTGCATCATTTACTGCAAAATGGAAAGTGGATAAAACCAAAAAAAAAGACAGAGTATGTGTGCATTGTTAAGATTCAAGACAGCACGAATGAAAGCAAAGACGGTCATAACATACAAGATCCATAAGTGATTCAGTTCTTTGATACATGCTGGAAATCTCTTTTGGTGCAATCTCCTTCCGGTCTTTGTTCAGCTGTGTCTTTGCTAGCTGGGTCAAAGAGTAGCTAACCTACAAAACAAATCCTCAGTTGTAAAGTCAAAACACACTAGTAATATGTCCTTGTACATGCTGACATCCAGATATTATACCTCCTTTAAAAGATCTCGGGAGCACAGATATGTGTCACACAACAGACGACCAGCAATACAAGACATTATTCCTGGACTTGCTCCTGATCCAAAAATGGTGCTTCCTTTAGTCAACTTGGGCATTGTAGCTCTTTTGAGGCGACCTATTTTAGACCACATGCTGCTTGGTAATCTGCATGCCTGCAGGGGCTCAGACATGGCAGCCAGGTTACAACATAAAACTGATAGTAATACAGCCTTGAAAATTAGAATGCTTCAGGAAATCAAGACTTCTACTACATATCCAAATTGGTATCTTTCTGGACACTTCTATGCATGAAATTTTAAAATAGTAATGCAAATTTTTTACACTATATTTCTTATCATCAGTCACTTAAAATACATGTACACTCTATTACTTGCCAATTTAAAATATCAATGCAGTAACTAACACCTCCTTCATTTGTGTGCAATACCTTAAACTGGCAATTAAATTAGAATGGCAAGGGTAATTGTTAGAGATACAAGATATTAGAGATATTGAATATATAGCAGATTAACATCAATATATTTTCCAATATCTCTAATATCTCGTATATCTAACGGTGATCCATGATTTCCATCACCACATTCAAATTTAGCAATAATCTTTCAGTGCACCTACACTTTGTAATTTAATATAGGTGATAAAGAAAATTTTTAAACAGGCGCCTATATTGTCGATCCTAAAAAAAAATGGCCTTCAATATGCTTACTAGTCTCCAACACCCAAAAAAAAAAATTAAAAACTTATAAAAGCATGCATATTCTAATCCACAAAATTGGGAAGAATAATTAGTCCTCGAGTCAAAGAGCTTGACATCAATCACACAAGATCCTCAAAAAAACATAACGTAAGCTAGTTATAAGGCATTTCCCTCAATGATTCGATGATTTGTTTCCTTCCAAATACACCACTTATTTGTAAAACTTGTACTATCTTACCAAGTGGCAGCAACAGAATTCCTCTCCATCTAGGTGCACAACCTAATACTCAACAGACCTAGGTTCTATGTACATGATATCATAACCAACGCAACAACGGCGAGGAAAAAAAATCCTCCAAAAAAACCAGTAGCCAGAATGAAACTGATTTCATATAGGTATTTGCTACTGTACCCACCTGAGCTCTATGAAGGAGAACATCTAGATCAAATCCAGAAATATTATGGCCCACAAGAAAATCACTGTCCAACTTGTACATTTCAGTCATCAGACAGCTCAACAAAGCTCTTTCGCTGTGAGATATAACAAAATCAACAAATTAGACACGTTTGGAGACTAGCAATAACAGATATAATGAAACTTTTAACAAAATATAAGTTCAAAAAGAGACGTACCTGGTTTCCAAAACAAGTATGGTGCTTCCGGCCTTTGTATTCTTTTCTGCAACTTCTTTTTGGAATTTCATTGGCCAGATATCTCCACCAAGTTTCCTCACAACAGTAAAATGATTAAGCACACCAGGTCTCTTCCACTCTGAAGCCAGCATAGGAGTATCAATCTGGAGATCGAAAGAGAGCTTAGTGAAGCATTCTGATGACTACTGCAGAAAGACTTAACTATATGTGCTTTCAAAAGAAAAAAGCCATCCAATAGACTGCATATTGCAAGTTGAAAGTAAGATTGAGTCTCACACAAACAATTCCTACCTCTTGATTCTTCCAATTCCTTTTCCTCTCTTGTTAGTTTAATTTTATAGGAACGTGGAAAACTTAATTGTTATCTTTGTAAACTGAGTGAATTCATTCATGTGAATATAGTAGCTTCTTGAAATCCTTCATTTCCCCCCACAAGGTGGATTACATAAAGGGTTCTGGTTTGAGCTTCTAATATGGACCAGTGGGGATAAAAGACTATCGAGAATTGAGGGATATTTCAATAAAGAGACACGATTAATTTGAAAGAACAAGGAGCTCAATAATTTATGCTGGTTTGGCTAATAGCATATCTAGATTAGGGCGTAATTAACATCTAGAGAAATTGAAAGCAAAAAAAAAAAATGTATATATAGAGGGGGCAAAAGATAGAGATAACAGTACTATAAAACTCCTGCCCATGAATAAAAACCATCTCAAGCATACCTTTGCTTTACTACATGAGATAATAGATGCTGAAACAATTTCATTCACATTTTGTTTCTCATTGATAATTGTTTTCAAACTGATTGCTGTTACAATCACCGGAGGAATCACTGCAGTGTTCTTGGTGGAAGCTGACTCTTTGATGTCCTCTGGACATTCAATAGCTATCTCAAATTTGCACCAGCTCACCTGCACAAAATCACCTCTTAGATATTGAACCCATGTATACACATGTTAACATTGAAATGTACAGAGTTGCAAATCTCACCCGTTGATGAGAAGGACAGCTACTGAATTTAGACACTGACAACCATGATGGTCCTTTTATCTTCCTCTTGACAAGAAAGAGTTCCAGAGCACTGCCAATGAGTTATCATTCCACTATTACTTGCATATAATTTTAGAAAGAAATCCACCTCATATTAAAGTTTAAAAAAAGAATCAAATCATCAGATTAAGGATAATAACTTGGACAAGACTATCAATGATGGTGACTAGACTAGCTATGATCAAGAAGTACCAACTAAAAGATTTAAGCCAAGGGATTTATAAGAGTTTCTCACATATTGCATGTAAAATTGTAAACCATTGTACTTAAAGTATGCAATGGCATGGTAAAGGATGAAAACTGATCATCATCGAAATCAGAGCTAAAAGGATCGATAAATCTTTTATCTAAGGAGCTCATTTCAATTCTCATGTGTGCGAGATGGCAACTTTCACTGGGTAACAGCTATTGAAGAGCTGCAAAAATTTTAAAAGTGCACACAGAATTATTTTTTTTCTTCACACCAGCACAGTTTTAGTCAGCCTCATGTAGCAATAAACTTGGGATGCAATATCCATTCATGAAATCCATTAGAAAAACTATCAACACTAGATGTAGTTCTAGATGATCGGTGTGTAAGCACTGCAAAGCTAAACAAGCAATAAGTATCCATGACAAACAAAAGAGTTAAGGAAAAGGGACAAGCATTGAGCTCATCGCAATACAATTCTTCGCAATCCACATTATAAGACATCCTACTGTAAAATTTCTCATAGAAGATGGCAATGTTTGGTCAAACACAATGAAGTTTATCATAAAACAATAATGGGGTATCATTTGTGAAAAGAAGAATTACTGCTTGCTACTTGCCTTGAGTTAGACCCTAGCAAAGTACAGAAGGTATCTCCCTTGAGATCTGGTTGGAGTGGAGGGTCCTGCAATGAAAGAACATTCATTAATAAATTCCTACAGATGGAGAACAGTCAATATATTATTCAAAAAGTTCAAAACGTACCCTAAAAGGAATAATGTTATTCGAAAGGTAGCTATAATTAGGTCATCTAAAGTCTTAACTTTTGCTAATAAGTGTTTAGGCCTTCACAAAGATATTAGTCATAAAGTTAGAAACATAAAGCAAATTACCTTAAATGGATAGTTGATCTCAAGCACATAGTTCTCCCCATGAGGTATGTCAACACGCTCAAATGCATAACTCCTCTATAACAAGTTCCCACATAACACATGTAAGCAATTATAAAAATATAAACCAATACAGTTATGGAAATTGTATGCTCAAAAACAATCATTACAGAAATTAAAATGTCGGATAATTATTCCACACCTTAACAGGCGCCATGCTAAAAGTTGAAACATTGAGGTTTACCAAATGTTTTGCCATTTCAGCTTTCAAACCAGATGCCACTTCCTAGTATAGATATGAAAAATTAGACGGCCAATATAAAATATAAGAGAGATAGATGTGAGGCTTAAAATCATAGCACAAGGAGAATTGACTAACATGAAGCTTGGCACAAAGTTCTGCAGCTGTAATCTTCTTATCAGCGAAATCCTTCTCCAACTTCATGACTTCCTCATTATGAAAAACAGAAGCACTAGGAATAGCATACAAACACCTCTGCATATTCTTTACAACAACACAGCAGCTCTGATATGCATTACCAGCTTTAACCTAGCAAGATTGTATAGTATTATATTAATCAGCTAACCAGTAGCACAAACCCATAATTATAAGAGGTAACTTGTAACATTTGATATGATTAACAGCCATCCAAAAAGAACAAATGCATATATTGTTAGATATATAAAGAGAGAAAACCATACAGTAACTTACTTTACCAAATAGATAGACTGTGCCAGCATTAGTATTATATAACTCCTCATATGCATCCAGGATATAGAAAGGCAATGATCCATCAGTCTCCAAGACAAACTCTGATTTCTCCTCAGATTCTGGAATTGAACTTGTTTTAACAGGATCACAACCAGCCCCATTTCTTTCTCGGGTGCCATTGATTGCTTGCCATTCAGCTGCTGCACTGAAAGTCTGAACCTTCTCCTCCTTAATCTTCGCATTAAACGAAAAAACCTTCTGATCCTCCTTCAAAGCTGGCTCAATCTTACCGTCAATTGCATTTGACAATTTCTCTTCCTTTTCACCTCTGCTAAGAAAATCACCCTCAAATTGCTTCAATTCATCTGAATTCTCCTCCTCTACGACTGATTTATCATCAGTTACCCTATCTTTTGTAGCTAAATCTGGAGACAAAGGCCTATGATCATCTTCAACCTTCCCAAGAACGTCACTAACTACTGGTTTCTCCGCCTTCATCTTACCAATCCCATTCACACCTAACCCTAACCCTAGATTCTTTGATTGAGGTCTTCTCCGGCGCTCTCTATCCCCATCATCAGGAGCAAACTCCGCAATCACATCATCAACAACACTATCACACGACAACATCCCTTTCCCTTTCTCCTCATTCCTCTTCTTAAACACCGAAGTAGTAAACATCGAAGAAATCCGTTGTTTCCCCATCAAAGCAGCAGCACTAGAGAGAGCATTTGCAGCAGCAGAAGGCTTCTTCTCCTTCTCCTTCTCCATCTTCTCCTTCTTCTTACGCTTCAATTTCTCACCATCTTCACCATCAAATTCCTCATCAGATGAAAAAGGAATTCCAGCTTTAGTCCAATCCTCCTCCTCACCATCATCAATGTAACCATCTCCAACATCACCAACAACAAAATCACTGAACTCCTCTCGACGTTTAGCAACTATAGTCTTGTATTCATCTTCATCGACAGTGTCATAGATGGGAGCATCCATCTTTATATCATACGAAGGGCGGTTTTCGCCATTGCGCAGGGCTTTCAGGCGTTCTAGGGCTTGCGCTCTGGCGCTAGCCACACCATTTGCTCCTCGGCTTCGCCGTCTTCCCGCCATTGTTGGCTGATCATCTTCCTCCATGTCTTTATTGCTCCAAATAAGCTACATAAATTACAGTACTATAAATAATTTGCGATACATACACTCATTTTACTCATTCACATTAATCTGAAAAAAAAGCTACTCAGCAATCAATAAATTATCAATCAATATCATACAAACAACTTATTACGACTTACTAAACTACCGCATTCATACTTCTCATGTGAATTTCAACTCCAAAAAAAATCTATGTTAATTTCATCAACAACTTTTCATCCAAAATTTAAATAAAATTGATAAACAAGTAGTCCTTTTACAAAATCATAAATACGGCAAAAATTATACACAAATCAAATTATAATAGTAGATTTGTGAGTTATAATTTTGTTTATAATCATCAGTTTTTGGAGTTGAGGATTGGGAGAACGAAATCAGAAATTTAAGATTAAAATTAAAAATTAAAAAAAAAAATGAAGAAGGATTGCAGACTTACAGTCAGTGAAGTGTGAAATGGCGGCGGACTTCGGAGTTTCCGGCGAATCAACGGCGAGCTTTGAAGTTTCCGGCGAAATGGCAGAACGATGATATGGAGAAGGAGGAGAGAGAAAATGAAGAGTGTTCTGCTAGGGTGACCGCCAAAAAATCCGGGTCTAGGTTTTGGGGTTCTGTTCTGATTTTTGGGTTTAAAATTAAAAGTATGCCAAAAGGAAAAAAATGTTAGGCGGGAACTTTGAGAGTTTTGGCGCCAAACCATTTTTTTAAGATAATGTAGATTAGTAGATATAACAAGATTTACATAGTAGTTCGTATTAAGCTTGTAGTCCAATTTTATCAGGTAAATATGGATCGGCCCAGCCCAACTACTTTAATTCGGTCTTAATAAGCAATTGGTCTAAGCTCTGCACCCTTGTGCACTTATTCAAGCTGCAACACCAGCTTACAAACCCAATTTCAAACGTGCCCCATTAAAAAAAGCCCCAAACCAAAACGAGCCCACCCAAAAAACTGAACATATCTTTAAAATGCAGCCCATCTAATTGTCATTTATACAAAATCGCCACTCTCAAACTTAAATTTCTGAAATTTAGTACTTCTCTCTTTGATTTTCTCTCTTTTAAAATCAAACACAATTCACTCTCTCTCTTCCAAAACAACCATGGATATTTGAGATGAGATGAAAATCAAACGGATTATCCCAAAAAAGTAATTTTATGTAAATTTCACTTAATTCTGTTTGAATTTTATATAAATATCACTTAATTTGTTTTAATATTGTTCGATACTCTATTGTTCGAAATTTTTATTGGAATTGTTAAAAAATTTAGTGAAATCAAACGGATACCTTATGTTCATAAAATGTTTTGAAATGTTCATAATATTATTATTTGTTTTTCATATGACAAATATTCTTAATGTTCATAAAACGTTCTCATTTGGTTTGTTTTGTCTGTTTATGCTTATGTTCATATTTTGAATATTTATGTTCACTTTCTGAAATGCATATGTTCATATTTTTTTTATATATATTCACTTTCATTCTTAAATGTTTATGTTCATATTTTGAATCCTTTCGCACTACTAGAAAATAGCCAATCAACGACGGAAAAATTCTGTCGGAAAACCCTGAAATTCCGTCGGAAGGCACCGTCGCATTACATTTTGTAGGAATTTCGCGATATTTCGAGGGAAATTCCGTCGAAAAAGTCCATTCCGACGGAATTTCTGACGGATTTTGTTTTGTCGGAGTCAAGTTTGACTTAATTGGGAAGTCCGTCGCAATGTTCCGACGGAACATTTTCCGCCGGTATGAGTTATATTCCGACGGAATTTTTCGTCGGAAGAGGTATATTCCGACGGAATTTTCCTTCGGAAAAGTCAATAAAAAAATAAAAATAAAAAAAAAACAGCCCCACCCCTAACCCTTACCCCACCCAGATCCACCACTGCCCACACCCCTGCTCACCAACCCAAGCCACCCCCACCACCAACCCACACCACCAGCCCACCCCTGCCCCCCTACCCACGCATACCCCCCTGCCCACCTATGGCTGCCATGACTGCCCCCCTACCCACCCACACCACCAGTGCCCCTAAATCGAACCACCAGCCCACACCACCCACCTTAACCCACCAGTCCCCCTAACCCATACCACCAGCCCGCACCACCAAACCCACGCCACGAAACCAACAAAACCCTAAGTAACGGCCACCCACAACCACCACCCAAACCACGAAACCCACGAAACCAACTCTAACTCACGCCAGAATCCACGAAACCACCCACCACCTTCATAAATCGCCACTCACCACCTTCACAAATCGCCACCCACCACCAGCCCACACATCACACACGCACACACAACAACTAAAAACCCCAAAAAAAATTAAAAAAACAACGAAAAAAACAGAAAATCGAAAAATTAAAACATATCTTAAATTAAAATGGGCTCGAATTTCACCACGAAAACGGTTTAACAAGGCCAAATTCGGCCATGAAAAGTCTAGATCTAGGCTTTTAATGGTCGAATTTGGCCTAAAAAACCACCCAGACATTGCGCAGTGGTGGTGGTGTTGGTTGCGGTGGTGTTGATGTTGTTTGACGTTGGTGTGAGAAGAAGGGGAAAGAAATCAGAGAAAAAGGAGGTGAGAAAGAGGAGAGGAAAAAAAAGGGGAAAGAGATTCAAAGAAACAGAAGGGGAAGGCGAAGAGAAAGGGATTCAGAGAAAACACAAGGGGAAGGAGAGAGAAAGAGAAGAGGAAAGAGCAGAGATTAAGAGAAAACAAAAAGGGAAGGATAAGAGAAGAAGAGAGAGAAAGAGGGGGGAAAGAGGTGGAGAAAGAGAGGGGAAATAATAGGATTTAAGTCTTACGACGGAATTGAATTCCGTCGCAAAATTTCCGAGGGAATTTCCGTCGTAAAGTACCTTTTCCAACGGAATTTTCTGACAGACCATAATTCCATCGGAAAATTCGTAGGTTCGTCGGAACGATTCCGTCGAAAAACGGCCTATTTCTATTAGTGTTGTAAATTTTCTGAAATTCTTATATAAACTTTCTTAAATGCACATGTTCACTTTCTAAAATCCGTATGTTCATATTTTTTTATGTATATGTTCACCTTCTAAAATGCTTAATTATGTTAATACGCATTCAAAAAATGAACCTATGCATATATTCATATTTTGAATGTGTATGCTCATTTTCTAAAATGCATATATTCATAATTTTAGTGCACATGTTCATATTTTTAGTACTTATGATGCGTATGTTTTATAATCATTTTATTTTTTATTTCTTCAATTTTCTCATGTTCATAATTAAAGGTCGTAAATTCAATTCATATGAATTGCATGTTCACAAACCTAATCAAATTGATCAAAATTCATTACAAAATCACCACACAAAAAAAAAAAAAAAACCCAAATTCATACATACATCAAATTGATAGAAATTAAACAAAATACTATTAGAATTGAATATAACCTAAAAAAAACCTAATTACAATTAAAAAAAAACAGTAACCTGCATTGACGATCTCTTAAGGAATAACAACTAATTCCATAGTAAGCAACAAAATCAATCGAAAAAGTGTAACAAAAGAGAAAAAATAAAGAAAACAGAGGAGAGAGAAAATGAAGAACGAAAGAGGAAGAACAAAAGAGAATAAAATTTTGATGAGAATTATTATAGGAAAGAAAAGTGAAGAGAAAAATACGACAATCAATTTGTGTTCATCACCTATTACAAATTGGCAAATCACCCAAAATTTATATATGCAATATCAATCACAAATTCAGAAAATATAACCAATTAAACCAAATTACAAATCAATAACATAAACTGACTTATATCAACAATCTCTTCAAGATTCCAATTAAATCCATCACGAATCAACGAAAATAAAAAAAAAATGGAGGAGAGAGAAAATCTTAAAAGAAGAAGATAATGCCAAACATAATAGAGAGAGAAAATTTCAACCAAGATTAAGAATTAAGTAAAGAATTTGGAAAAAAGAGAAAAATTTATGTAAAAATTAAGAAATAAGGAAATAAGTAAAATAGGAAGAAGATTGAAGGAAGGAGATGAAGTAATATATACCAGTAGTACATAGTATATATGTGTGTTTGGTGTATAAAAAGGGGTGTTTGATGAGTGGCGCAACCAGCTTAGATGCACAATGCGCTTAATAAGGAATCATAAGTTGGATCCGAATGAAACATGTATATATGATGTACTCGTATATAATATAGACCGAGATTATCCCATAATGTATACGGAATACTTCGTTAAGTTGTCCCCTAATAAAAAAATGTGTGAATTATATTAAAAAAATTGTCATTACTGTATTAAGGTGCTACGGAGTAGTAGATGAGTATCACCGTGAAAATTGGCAACAGATTATTTTCTGTAAGAGAGATGATTTGTCATTGGAGAAGGAAAAGGTGTTCTTTACAATTAAAAATGATGGTCTAAAATCTAAATTTCCAAGAATGTAGTCCTACTTTAATTTAAACAGAAAATGTTAAAAATGCCATTTGTTCGTTTAAATACACTACGGAATGTACAGCTAAAAAGAGTAAAATGTTCCACACACGAAAGCAAGCACCGACGCCAACCTTAACCAGCATAATAAAACATGCTGCTACTCAAAAATTCACAATAAGATACAATATGCACCTCTCTATACACCCCCGTTCATTTATACTGTGGCCCTTCTTTTAATATTGAAAGATACTTTTTATATTAAAAACTTTTGTAACATGTTTTTATTCTAAAAAATCACCACAATTTATTTGCATTAGTTAATACTTGCAATTTATTGTTACATTAATAAGCTACTTTTAAATCTAGTAAAGAGCAAAGAACATAAATTATTTCACATCAATAATACTTTGTAGAACAGTTTTCAAATGGCCACAATAAATTGTATTAATAATTATAACCGTTCATTTCTATTGACTAATGTGAACCGTTGATATATTTTGTTTTTATTTTATTTTAAAAAAATTTGACCAAAAAAAGATTTTTAAAAAAAAAATCACGTTTTTATCAGCTTCTTCTTTATTTTCTTTTCCCTCTTTACATCTCTTCAATCTTTGTTCGTGATTCATGTATACTGATTATAATGATTGTCTATCCAACCATTATTGTCGTCTTCACTTAATTTTTTTCTTGAATCCACCCTTTGCTTTACTCCATATGTCTTTAGCTTTTTATGGCTTTATTTTGGGCTAAATAGTTGGAAGTTAGGAAATTGATTTCAAATAATAACAGTTAGATATTGCCAGTTGCCAAGGTCCATCTGTTTTTCTGTGTTTTTTGCGCATAGTGCTATGTTATGGCATTAGATCAGTCATTCAAATAGAGTTGCTTGGATTTTTTGCAATATGTATCCATTTCAAAACAGAGAAAACAAAGAAGAAAGATTGATGAGAAGTACTGGAAAAAAAACTGAATAAACAAGGAAGAAACTAAAACAAAAAACTCATAAGAACGTGATTTATTTATTTATTTTTTTTGTTTAAATTTTTTTAAAATAAAATAAAAAGATAAAAAGTAAATCATATCAATGGTTCACATTAGTCAATAGAAATAAACGGCTATGATTTAATTTAATACAATAAATATAATTAATAGATTCTAAAGTACCTATAGAGTTTATGACCTTGTTGATGAATTATAACTTAGGATTACATACCTAGTAGATGAACTTGCATGTATAAATAGGTGAAATCAAAATAGACTTAACTTACAAAATCTTAAAAATGT